CTACACTATAACTCGACGGTTGTCCATACTGGGTTGTCCATCCACCTTTTTCACTGTTGAACTTCCACTTGCGCAACGAACCCTCGCCTCGCTCCTCCCCATCGCCACCTGCTCCTCATAATCAGGGGTTCGAAACCGCCTATGTGCAAATTGGCGGCGTGTGCATCACCAATCACGGCCTCAGCCGGTCCCACGGCCCTAGCGGCAAGTCGCCGCATCAGGCAAGTCGCCGCATCAGGAACCGTGGCGGTCTCTGCCCCAACGTCAACCGCGGCTGCGGGCCCCCCGGCGCGCTGATGCAGACAGCGACCGTGACGACGACGGTGATGGCGGCGACGGCTGCAGCAGCGACGTGCTGGAAGAGGATTTGCAGGACTACCTGGAAAATGTGCTGGGCGCCACCGATATCGGCAGTAGCAAGCAGAGCGGTGCCGGTAGCAAGTCTCATAGCAGTAGCGCAGGGTGCAGGCGTCCTGCCGCCGTCGCCGCCGCCACCTCCGCCCACGGTCCAGGTTGGCAACCCTGGCACACTCCCCCCCCCTTGTCCCATAATCTCCTACACCATGACTCTTAAGAGGTTCCTACGATTTCAAAAGACAATCATACACAGAAATACAAACAAATACATATGTACATATACATGTATATGTGTATATATAAAATGACAGCTCTTGCTGGGATACGTGCAGGCAGCAGTGACGGCGATGACAGTGACGGCGATGACAACGATGGGGAGGAGGGGGAGGAGGAGGGGGACAAAGTGGTCATGAGGGCTGTGGAAGGACTGGACAACGGAGAAGATGAGCAGAGAGAGGAGGAGGATGAAGATGAGGTTGAAGGAGGAGGAGAAGAAGAAGAGGAGGAGGAGGAGAAGATGAGGAGGTGCGAGGTGACACCGTGATGCATCAGTATATGCTTCACAGGCTGCTGATCCGGCTTTGAGGGTCGAGATCTGGACGAGTCAAGAGGGCGAGGAAGAAGGCGGCGGCCAGGGCAACCTGTATGAAGGTATGCATGGGCCGTACAACATGATCTTGTACGATGTGTTTGAGATATCCTTGTGGGTCTTTGCGAGACCCACAAGGATGGATCTGCACGACATGGCTGTACGAGTTGCTGGATAGCATTTTGAATCCGAGTCATTGCAATACTGTCCTATTCAACTGGAGCTTCCAGACATCAACAACAAAAGCAATGTTTGCACATAATATCGGTGTGAACCGATTGGTTACAGGACGGATTCGCTCCGTCAATGTCTGGGCTCTTATCAAAGTAACCTGGGCCGTGAGGCCTCACTAATGTTGACTCCTCGACACTGTGAACTTGGGCCATCAGGCCTCACTAATCTCAATTCCGCGACACCCCAAATCTGGGCCGTCAGGCCTCGCTAATCTCAATTCTGCGACACCCTGAACCTGGGCCGCGAACCTGGGCCATCAGGCTGCGCTAATGTAGACTCCCTGGCACCCTGTATCTGGATCCTCAGGCTTCGGTAATGTGGACTGCACGACATCCCGAACCTGGGCCGTCAGGCCGCGGCCCAGGCCCAATGTTGACTCCTCGACACTGTGAACCCGGGCCATTAGGCCTCGCAAATGTGGACTCCGTGACACCCCGAGTTTGGGCCATCAGGCCGTGCTGGCATCGACTCCACGACATCCCGAACCTGGGCCGTGAGGCCTCGTTAATGTTGACTCCTCGACACTGTGAACCCGGGCCATCAGGCCTCGCCAAAGGTGGACTCTGTGACACCCCGAGTTTGGGCCATCAGGCTGTGCTAATGTTGACTCAGCAACACCCCATATCTGGATCCTCAGGCAGTCCATGTTACTGCACAACATCCTGAATCTGGGCCATCAGGCCTTTTTAATGTCAATTCCATGAGCCATCAGGTCCACTTGGGTCACATCCACCCTCATAACTGATACCCACCAGGGCAGTTACATCCGTGGCATTCCTGGCTGTCTTAGCTGTCATCTGCAGCATCCCAGCTGTAATTCGGTGGCCTCTGAAATCTGTTAAAGGCCACTCAAGTCGTACCCAGCGGTTTTAGCGGCCCTTCTGAAGTGGACGTAACAGGGCCATCACACGCTCGCAAGGACCAAACCTGCTGGAAATAGCCCTAGATTTCCCCCCCGCCCCAGCCAACCCAGCCGCGACACAAGAGTGGGTGGCTACCGGAGAAGAGGTAGAGAGAAAGAAAGTGACAACGAAGTATTTACCTGCATATGGGCAGGCGGAATCTGGTGTTGTCCGAATAATGGGTGATGATGGCCCAGATGAGCACCAACCAGCCGCCACCGCTACACCTCAGATGGGCCATCAGGCCTCACTAATGTCGACTCCGCGACACCCCATCATGGGCCATCAGGCCTCCGCGACACCCCCAGCATGGGCCCTCCAGGCCCCTTCCCGTCGCATCCATGACACCCCAGCATGGGCCATCCGGGCCCCTTCCAGTCGCATCCGCGACACCCCAGCATGGGCCATCCGGGCCCCTCCCAGTCGCATCCATGACACCCCAGCATGAGCCATCAGGCCTCCACGACAATCCCAGCATGGGCGTTCCAGGCCCCTTCCAGTCGCATCCACGACACCCCAGCATGGGCCATCTGGCCTCACTAACGTCAACTCCGCAACACCCCAAAGCTGGGCCATCAGGCTTCACTCTGGCTGCATCCGTGACACCTCAACCGGGTCCCCCTGTATCAGTCCGGTCATATCTGCAGCACCCAAACCTGGGTCCCCGGCCTCACCAAGAATCGCCTGCACGACCGTCAGCACAAGGCACCCAGCCTGATTCCTGTTTTTTGCGCGGTATCTTCTCCTTCGTCATGTAGCCCTATGGGAATCGTATCCGTGACACTCCAGCTTGAGCCATCCAGTCTTGTTTAGATGTCATCTGCTGCATCCCGGCCGTATTCCGGTCACCTTCAGAAAGACTTCCTGAATTCCTCCCCGAATCAACCCCGCCGCCAGTTAAGGGCGGGTAGCCAAGAGTAAAGGGAGCACGAAAAGGTCAGCTCCACGGGATGGATGGCACGCCTGTGCCGACACCTGGCCCAGATGAGGTGGTTTATGCGCGTGGGCACACATTCGTGCTCGGGAGACTCAATTGTGGACATGGAGAACCTCCCGTTTCCTTTTTGGAATAGCGATGTTTTCTACTTGTGTGTAGCCTAAAGCATGTGCGCTGTAAGCGCGGTGTGGCAAGGAGCTTGTGGGGACCGCTCTTGCATGACAAACGCTAGTTCGGCGAGTTCAAGTTTCTCCCGGTCTCTCACTTACTCTGAGAATAATTTACAGATCTAAACTAAATGCACGTCTTGTAGTTGCGAGCAGCGCGCTGGCAAGGAAGCGGTTTGCGTCGCTCCAGGGCGGCGTCTCGTCTGGGCAGCTGCCCAGACCTGCAGGTGTCGCGGACGGTGTGCGGATGGAAACAATTTCCACTGTCTACGAATGCAGCAGCGAATTTGACGTCGGTAAAGGATGATGTAGACTAGGCTGATCCACAGCAGATTGTAGGCGACGTCGCGTCAAGAAGTTTGCGCGGCAGCAATCCGCGTTTCGGAAGTTATTGAGCCGCGCGTCAGAAAGGACGCCGAGTCGACTATAATATAAGGAGAAGATGATACGGGAAATTAAGGTATGAAGTGAGAGAAAGGGAGAAGCGGTGCGCCTACACACCGACTGTCTCCGAACGATGGCAAGATAGGGTCTGATCCTGGCCAAATAAACGCCTCAAATCTCTATCAAGCACCTTAAATCTCTTTAATAAAGACATACCTTTCACACTTCCTCTCCCACCAAATGCAACCTTCGTCTCACTTTCGACCCGTACAACCTTAGCAACCACCTTCACCGTACCCAGTACTTCTGAACAAGCCAAGGCCTGCCTTAGCAGCGTTACAAGAGAGGTCTGACCGGAATATCGTGTAATTCACAACACAATATATCTCCATATCTTTATTCAAACTCCTTGTGTATTTCAGGGTTATTTCATTTCGATTTCATTTGTAGTTGTGCGCCATGAAACAGCACCACGTTACTTTGGCGAAGCATCGTGCTCGGCCTTCGTCGATGCTAACATCCTGTCCCGTCCGCACACCGCCTGTAAGGTTGCCTGTCAGAGCTGCGTCGCCATGGCTGCCACTTTCCTTAACTTTAGCAGCTGCTTCTTCAAGCACAACATTCTCTTCAAGCGCCTATGTCACCAAGGAGGCGCGGCAGACAGCGTTTGGACTTGCCAAGGAGCAGGTGCGCTTTTCTCCTCTGAGCAACGGGATGAGCGAAGAGTGCCTCTAAATTTGAAGGATAACTGAAGGTTGTCTGTTTTTCATCTCCTACACCTTCGCCAATTTCCCCAGCCCTCTTGTCAACCTATGTTTGTTCACGTCTATCTACGTGCATGTCCTCCATGGTCCCTTATTCTGTGTCACCTGTAGGGGAAGAAGGGGAACACTTCTTCCCCTAAAGGGGACGGAGTCCCCCACACACCACAAAACACCACCCGGCCACCTCTGCCAATCCCATGATGCTCAAACCGTCCACACAACTCCATGATTTTTTAAGAGGAACATCATCTCACCCTTCGTCCTATTTCTTAATTTCGCATGCAAATGTGCATTTCTACTACACGTCATTCGTACGACAGGTTGAAGAAGCTAATGCGCCGGTATCAGGCAATCTCCCATCTTGGCTTCGTGGAACCGTCGTCATCAACGGCTGTGGCGACTATCGTGGCATGGAGCATCTATTTGACGGTTTCGCCTTCCTCACCCGCATTCACTTAGACGGTGTGACGGGGCGTGCGACTGCCAGCCAGCGTTTCCTGGACACGGACGCGTACAGGTGAGTGCTTTCAATCGGGTTTATGAACGGAACGCATCGACTGATGTGTTATTGCGATCTGGGTCAACGCACTGTTGTGATTTGGGTCAACGAACAGTTGCGATCTGGGTCACGGAAAGCTGCGATCTGGGTCACGGAAAGTTGCGATCTGGGTCACGGAAAGTTGCGATCTGGGTCACGGCTCACTCCTTATTATCTTCGGGCTCCACACACAGGAGCTTTCGGAAAACGGGTCGCATGAAGTACCGCGAGTTCCAGACGCCGGTACCCGCCGACGGACCCGTGGGTCGCGTCCAGGTCGTGCTCGAGAATATCAAGGCCCTGGTGGGTAGCTTCCCGGGGGGGGGGGGGGGTTTAAGCAGTTGCGGGTGTCCACACGATGTCTCCCCTGTACACCTGCGCGCCACGTGCAGGTCGTGCATGGCATGCATGTTTAGCTGTGGCGTGTTTGGCGTGTTTCGTATCTTTCCCCCCTCCTCCCCCCTTTCCCCCCCCCTCCCCCCACTCGCTCGTGTTTCATATGTCCCTCCCTCTCCCCCGCACACCCTTCCCGACGCAGATGAGCAAGGGCCGGGCCTTCACTGACAACGCATCTATCAACCTCATCCCGCTTCCAGGAAATAGATTGCTGGCGCTTGGCGGTGAGTGTACGGCATACCGTAGGTGTACGACGTACTTTGCATCGTAAAAAGTGCTGTTACACTCCGAAACACGGTATGTTTGCACCCCTAGCTTGCTTTCTCCTGCTGTACTACACTAACATGTTCCTGATGTATTTGTTGGGTTTTAGGGTTTTAAAACCCTAAGGGTTTTAGGGTTTCAAAACCCTAAGTGTTTGTTGATCGAATGCGATATTAATGACAAGCCGTTGATGCAGCTCTTGATCAAATCGAGCACACACTTACATACCTACAAACACACACAGACACAGACACGTTTCACGTTTCTCTCACCCGGCGCTGCTTCCCCAATGACTCCGATGCCGGGGTGCAAATATCCGACCCGCCTCAGAGACTCGTAGCGCTGCTTACATCGTGGATCCAGCCACCCTCGCAACTGTACGGCAGGTGGAGTACGACGACGATTTTCCGGGTGACCTGACGACAGCCCACCCCAAGGTGGCACCCGACGGTTCCATCATGAACTTTACTCGCAGTTTACCGTTGGGCGGTTACCACGTGTTTCGGCAGGACCCTGTAACCCTGAGACGCACGAAGATTGCTTTCATACGGTACGGAAAATGCACGGCATGATATTTGGGTGCCGTGATTGTAGTAGATAGTAAATGGTTAACGTCATGGTGCGGGGTTATGCATGTTTGTATGTATGTGCGCCTGTCTCTTGTCTGTCTGTCTGTCTGTCTGTCTGTCTCGTCCTGCACCGCATTCGCCGTCACTCCACTGTTTCCTGCTACGTTTTATACATCTTTAACATCCCCGTAAATTCCTCAAATCCTTTCCCACAAAATTTCCCCCAATTCCCGAAATTCCCAAACATAATCCCCCCCATGCGTCCTATGCATTCCCCGCTCCCTTCCATCTCTATTTTCATTTTTCCGAATCTCCTTTCCAAACCCTCCTTGAAAAACCCTGGAACTACCTAGCTCCCACGTTCCCCTCCGCACCCG